GTAGCTTACAAAATCTCATGAGAAGGGCCTGTAGCTGATGCAATTGTTGGCCACTTGCTTACTTGCGTACGAAAAGGGCAGACGTATTCAGCCATTCGCATGACTCATCAGGAGCTAGTTATATGTAACATATGAAGATTTCCCAGACAGAAAGTATAATCTTGTATGTTTTTTTATGTTTAAAAAAATTCAATTGAATGATTTATTTTAAAAAACAAAGTGATTTTCATTACCACACCCTTTATCTGTTTTAAATTGATGCTTCATCTCTTGTCAATTTGATGCTTTCTATCATACATGTTAAAAGTAACTCTGCTTTCATTACCACACACCCTTTATCTGTTTCCAATTGATGCTTTTACATCATCATACATTTTAAACTTAGCTCTGCTTCGATATGTTTTAAAAACCCAACGAATTCCTATCGGTTTTATTTTCTAAGATGTGTTTGAAATAGGTACTGATTGGTGCTTTGTGTTTTGTGTGTTAATTAACGGCTAGGTTTCGCAAGGGTGATAGGCTCCGCTTTGAACCCGTAAAATGTGTTTGAAATAGGTACTAGAGAGTTTTTTATTGGGTCTTGCAAACTAGGTGTTGATATAAAATTCGATTAACTTAAATTTAAGTGATTTTTGGTAATTTTTATAAGATTTGCTTTAATAAAAATATATTAAAAAGATAATCTAGATTTAAACTCATTGAAGTTCTGAAAGATAACGTGAAAAAACACTAATGACTTTAGTCACATAAATGTTCGACAGGTATGGAAAAATTTCTATCACCAGTCCACTGTCTTATATTAACTATATTGGGAATTTTCATTGGCCATCTCCAAATTATAGGAGAAACTCTGTATCACAAACACGAAGGGATCCTGTTGGCGATTTATCTCACCCTTGTCACTTACTGGGTGGCATTGGCGGTGGAGTTTGGAAACATCATAGCTACGCCTTCAATACTCAGAAAGTTTAGTCCTCTGTTGGGTGCCCTCACCGTAGTTATGCACACGTTGATCTTAAGACCAGGATTTGGTGTGGTCACCCTCGTGATATGGGCTCTATTTTGCATTAGAGCTGTGCTGTTGTCCCTTCAAGATATTCAACTAGTCTTCGAGGATATTAAAAAAGTCTTCGACAAGCAAGTTACCTCTCTTAGGAAAACTATAAATAACCATAGTAAGGACATAGTAAATTATTTTCAAGCCAGAGACGTTACACGTGGTACAGGTACAGTGAATCGTTCGAATCTTCAGGTGTAAGTTTAATCAGTTGTTTTGAAATGTGGCAAAAAGAATTAAAAAATATATATCAAAACAAATTTTAAATATACTGTACCCCGTTTGAATTTCTTTTTTATTTATCGTTTTAAGAAAATTATTAATAACATTAATTATTATGATTTTTATTAAGATATCTTATAATGTAGTTGTGTATCATCTAAGTATTTAAAGTGACATAGACAATGGTATCCACAGAGGGTGGGTGATTCAATCCCACATTTTCTCTCTGTTTTATTTTCAATTTTGACTATTTTTCTTCAATTTTTGTGAATAGTGTTATTTTGCCACGAATTTGAAGTGTTGTTTTGGAATTTTAGAATCAATAAGCTGCATATGCTCAATCTTGTGTTCATTTCTTATGACAAAAGTTTGGAGCTTTAAAATTAATAACAAAATAAATAATATTTTTAAAAAATACGAAAATTTGAGATAAATTAAAATATAGTAAGTAAAAAATAATACGAGAACGAGGACGAATATTTGTTTGAACTTCGTGAATATGAAGTATTATATATCCAATCCAAAGAAACAAGGGCTTATTCTTTTACTTAAGACAATGGATGAATATTATCAGATAGGTTCATTAACAAGTGGATCCAATAAAATAAAAATTAAACTAAAAACTAAATATATAAAATATTGATCCGTTGTTATTAAATAAACTCGTTTTTGTAAAAATAAAAAAAATCAGTTCAATTTTAATTTAAAAAATTATAATTCAATACAAAGCAAGTTAAACACACCTGACGCATTAACTCGAAAGGATAACTAATTGGGTAAAATTCTACTGCACATTCATTGTGTTTTCGATCTATTTACACATTTCATACAATATTTCAACGTCAATTTTCATGAGATATTTAATATTATCTCTAATTTTTTTATAAAAAACAAAATAAAATATTTTCTTAATCATTATTATAAAAAATAAATAATAAATTTAAGATACATTAATTTTTAAATTTTTTAAATATTTTTTAAATGTTATTAAATATATAAATTACTAATTATACTATTTAATATTATAAATATTTTTAAAATAAAATTTATATTTATAAAAAATATATCTGACTTAATTAATTTTTTTTATTCTAGTGATTTAATTTTTTATTTTTTATAAAAAAGACCAAAAATAATATCTAATATATAATTCATGCTTAAAATTAAATACACCAAATAATAATGCGAAAATATTTTGTTTGTATCTTACATTATTTTATTTATCTCTCTAACTCTTATGATATATAACTCACATTTTCTTAGATCTTCAAGTGGGCATATCTTAATAAACACAACTTGGTTTAATGTAAATATAAAATCTCATACTGAAAAATTATTTAATAAGATTTTAAATAGCAAAATTGTACCACAGGGGAGTAATGAAGTTGTAAATGCTCTTACAAAGGTTTTATTCGTGGCAGATGGTCCAACACGTGGTACCTCGTTTCACTGCTACGTGGAACGCAGAGCTGTTTTGTTCTTCTCCCAAAAAGAAAACAAACCCTTTACCCCCGTACGTTTTCCCAAACTCAATTCTGTGCCAACGACAGTGGCCGAATGTATCGAACGGCGGCGAAGCAGTTGTTCTATGGCGCAAGGCACTATCACGGCAATGTTGGAGTTCGATTCCGGCCTCCTCAGACGTTGATACTCTCTTCTCGCTTTTCCACATCGGAGACTCAACCACTTTCTAATCCACACTCTACCGATCGTAGCATTCCCGTCACAGCCACCGAAACCACTAACTTTTCGGATTCGGCATCTTCTTCATCATCTTCGTCGACGACTGAGGATGCCTCGCGCTATGAGACCCTAAGAACCGGAGCCAAGTACGAAAATGAACAAGCACGCGTGCTTCAGGCCTCGCTCCGTTACGTTGTTCGTACACTGATCCTCTTCCTCTTCTTTTCAATTATGTCGGTTATTCAATCTTCCAAAATTACAAATCATTTGGCTGTTTTTATTGCATATCTGGATTCCATGGTTTTTGATCGGATTGGATGCATTCTAATAGTTAGTAATTGTAATTCTGAATGTTGGTTTTTCAGGTAAAGTTGGGATGGACAGAAGCAGCGCTAATTGCAGGAGCAAGGGATGTTGGTCTTTCCCCTTCCATTGTTGGATCTTTGTCAAGGAAGGAAGCAACACTGGTTGAGGTGCGTTTCCTCCTCTATTTTCTTTCCCTTAAATGCATATAATTCCTGCATTAAACTTCTTTAATTTTATATTAGTTCAAGTCAGATTAATTAAGCCAGTCAGTTTAGATAGTAAGCAATAGATGGGAAAAGGGAGGCACAAAAGTTCCATTTATCTGTCATAATTTTTTTCTTGTAAGTGATTGTTATTGTGTAGTGTCTACCGATGATTGGAGTTGGGGCAATAGAGTAGTGATCTTCTGTTTAATTGTTGTGACTATTTTGAACAGTTCGTCTTTTGTGATGGTTGAAGGTATTTGCAATCATTGATGGTGTTCAATGATAGGAATGGTCTGAAATTGTTTAATAACTAGAGTTTAGAAGAGGACTACAACAGCTAATGTTATGCTATGTCAGGTAGAATGCGAGGTGGTTCTGTTTATCACTTGGTCCACGATGTTCTATATCATATTGTAACTATTTGACAACTTATACTGTATTCCAATCACAGTCTGAGTTGCTGCTATTGTGCAACCCATCCCCTCTAACGCAATTGCGGAAAATGATTCCCGAAAAGAAAGGACGATTGCAAACGTGAAAGAATAAAAGTATTTTGGTTTTTTGTTTTTAACGCGAGACAAGTGACTCAGAATATTTATCAAGTTGGATATCTCTTTTCCTCTCTTGCATTGCATGTGTGTATGTATTCTCCCTGGCATCCTTTCAATGTATAATGTAATCATTGGCAAGCTACAATTTCAGAAGTTGTCAATGATGTTTATTGGAGTTTTTGGGTTACTTTAGTCAGTTGAGTTTCCAATGCATGAATTCTCTTCCACTCTTATGTTATCAAGTATAATCAGTTTAATGGGTTGCCATTATTTGGAATATTGCTCTCTTTTGCTTGTGCTTATTGGTGTTTATGAATTGACCAATTTTTCTATCATAAAACTTTTTTCAGTATTTCATGGATGATTGCTTACAAAGATTAGTTGATAAAATTGACACAAACGAGAGCTTTAAGAATCTGACACCAGGTGACTGCATCTCTAAGCTTATCAGGTTTCGATTAGAAATGCAAGCTCCATATATATCAACATGGCCTCAAGCTCTTAGCATCCAGGTCTATGCCTATGTCCTTTGTCCTTGTTCGAGGCTTACAATATGAATTGTAGAGCTGAAATAGTTTCTGGTAAATGATTTCTTTACAGGCACAACCAGTGAATGTTCCAACAAGTTTTAAGCAAAGGGCGATGCTCATGGATGAGATATGGCATGCTGCTGGTGATAATGCCTCTGACATTGATTGGTATGCCAAGCGCACTATCCTTGGCGGAATATACTCAACGACTGAGATTTATATGCTGACAGATAACTCTCCTGGTTTGTTTTTCTTCCCTCCCCTTTAAGGACATGAGCATTCTAAGATTTTTGCTTCATGAACTCTCAACCATTCACTAATTTCTAGTGTTTTTTTGTGCTTTTCTGTTAATGATAATCAGTCATTTGTGGTCAGCTCCTTGTTCTATGATAGCAGCAACCATTGGATCATTCATTCTTCATGTTAATGATAATCTTTCATGCTTTGAAAATATTAATTGGATTCAACTTTCCATTCTCTTTAAATGTTTTTATTTTCTTGATTCAAAACTGTCCTGTTTGCTTCCATGGCAATATGTATGAGGATTTATGTGATGAAGTGACTGTCCGAAAAAGTCAAAAGACAATGGAATTTTATTCCCCATCACACGGATAGTCCCATATGTTTAGTATCTCTATATTTAATTGGGTAGAGACCCTGGTGATTAAATGCTCATGGCTCAATGTGTTAAAGTTGTGACTTGAAAGGACTTTTCTTGATTCTTCTGCGGTTTGTTTTCTGGCAGATTTCCGTGATACATGGGCTTTCTTGGATGCTCGAGTGAAAGATGCCTTTGATTTAAAGAAAACCATTCAAGAGGTAATCCTTATATGGTTACTGTGATTGATTCCTTAAGTTTTCATATTTCAATTTTTTCGAAATATCATGCTTGGTGGTGCATTCCAGAATTCTCAGTTGTCATAATTTCAGGCACAGCATTTGGCAGAAGCTGTCACTACTGGGCTGGGGAACTCCTTACAAGGGTTTGTGAGGAAAGTTTTCCGGGGATGAATCATGGTGGTAAGATGTGCTGGTGGCAGGCATTTGCATCCCTGTTTACATGTTTCGAACAATGTTTCTACTAGACATTGATTATCTCTTGATATTACACGTAGTAATTAGGTATCTTTCATTTACTTCTAATTTATTCTTGCTTGGGCACTTCACTCAAGGCTTGAGTTACAGGGTCACGAGTGCACAATAATTTTAAGCTTGTGAATAATTCCATTTTCATTCTATGATACGAAGAAATTACTCTTTTTTCCCCCTTCCCCCAAGAACTTTGTTTATTCATATGATTCATATTTTAATTTCCCTCGTTTTAAAGTGATGGGCTTGATGAAAAAATAAATAAATTATTTTTACCATAATCCTGGGTGTATTTATCTATTGAAATGATCGGGGAATGCTTTTAGGTTTTCTGGTTGACCCTTGTATAAAAATAAGGGTGTCCCACAAGGTTTGCTTGTAATATTTATGACGAATAATGCTTATCCTGTTTTATACACAGAAAATATATTAGTTAATTAAAAATAAATTAAATCTTCAATTCACTTCCTCAAAATTCCAATAATTACCATATTATTTTTAAATAAAATTTACTTATCAACATAAATTTTTAATGTTCTTAAATAAAATAAAATTAGTCTTCAAAAGATTTTCTTGAATCATTTCTTCAAATATTTAACTTATTATTTGATTATTTATTCAAAAGTTTGTTCGGGTAATCAATTAAATTTCTCGTAAAGATGAATGTGGTGATAAGTTAATATATAATTTGATCTTTAAAGTGTCAATTTATATTTCTTTGATTATTGAACGTCCATGTCCATAACAATTGAAATCTATTTGTATTACATTGTTAACTAATTTGTGTTATGGACATGTAATATGTAAATCATTTCACCCTTTAATTTGTCTAAAAAAAACTTTAAAGAATTAACCTAAGATCACTTTTGGGATTGAGTTTTTATATCAACTCATTGTGATTGGTATGGGTAAATTTTCATCCACTTTGGATAAGGAGGTGGGAATGGTTAAGAAATTGTGATATTGAATGACGAGTGAAGTAGAGAAGAATAAAATAAAAGGGGAATAGAGTAAAAATATATTGTTTGGGAAGGAAATAGAAAAATGAGTAATAAATAAATAAAATAACAAAAATATTTTTTATAGTAATTAAAAATAAATTTAACTTAAAAACATTTAAACTTATAGAACTAATTTTTAATTATTTTTTAGTTATAAACTAGGATTTTTTTAACTTTTTAAATGGCTAAATAAAAAAAATAAAGTGGTATAATTCTTCCGCTACATTTACTTTTTACTTTTTTTTTCTCAAATCTGATCCAATCTGATTTATGAACACCCTTAGTTAGTGATGAAAGATTTTAACTTGTGACTCACTAAAATGAATAAAATATTTCATTTCAGTTCAGCATTTATTAAAAATGAGTAAAATAATTTTTTTACAACAATTAAAAAATGAATTTAACTAAAATTTAAACTTTTTATTATAAATTTTTTATCTTAATACAAAACTATTTTTATTGTTTATTTATGAAATTATATTTTTTTTACTTTTTAAAAATTAAATAAAAAACAAAGTTGCAATAATTCTCCTGCCACTTTTTTTGCCTACCTAGCGGTAAAATATTTTAACGTGGGAGTGTATGGAAGTTTACGGACTATACTATTTTTTTAATTATTTTTTAAAACAGTATCGCACGTATCATGTCGATATTCATCCCAGTAATGACACGTGTTAAGTGCAGAACTAGTATCTCACTTTTTTGGATGATAGTGCTATCTCTACTTTTACAGCGATACTGTTATCTTCATACCATGTTCATATGTCTGATACTAAGTAAAATGTTACACATGACATTAGTTTAAAAAATATTAAAAATTATAATTTAAAAATATTTAAATTTATAAATTAAAAAATTACTTAAGATTTAAATTTAAAATATTTAAAATTATGAATTTCAAAATAACATAAGAATGCAAGCAATAATTCAACTAACAATATAATTTTAGCTCTTAAAAGATTCGAAAAAAGGTTCATAACTTGATTTAAAATAAGGTATTTGCTGTTTTTTTCTCCATACTAGTGGTGTTAATTAACGAACAAAATCTATATATTATTTTGCTAAGATAAATAATTTTGGAACAACAAATAATGAAGATTATAAATTTTAAGATAAAATTATGAATAATAAAAAATTTATTTTAATTATATTATTAATTTTTAGTTAAAAAATTAGTTAAATAAAAAAAGTTTAGACATAACATCCATAAAAATAAAAATTAAATTTATAATTATCTGACTTATTTAAATAATAAAATTTTAAAATTATATTAGAAATCATAATATATTTATTTTAATTTTAGTATTAATTATTACTAATACTTAATTATCTTTTATATTCATATTTTTAAAATTTATAATCTTATTTTAATTAAATTCATAATTTTAAATATTTTTAAATTTAAATCTTAAGTATTTTTTAAATCATAATTTATAATATTTTTTAAACTAATGTCACTTGTCAACATCTTACGTATTAGACCTAATATAGAGATAACAATATCGCTGCAAAAATGAGATATTAGTTATGCGCTTAACACATTATTATTAGAGTGAGTATCAACTGCAATACTGTTTTAAAAAATAAAAAAAATAGTATCATATATAAATCTCCGATACACTCTCTTAGGTGACAAAAAAAAAGTTCAAACAAAAAAATAACTTTTAATTAACTCTATTTTTAGAAATAATTTTTAAAATTATATTATTTAAATAAAATTACCAACTTAAAATAAATGTCCGTGCTCAAAATTCAATACTAGAATAATGATATGTTAAACATTAAAGTGAGTAATTTGAGGACAAAATCTTAAAACATTAGCTTGATAATGTTTTAAATATTTACAGGACAAAATTACTTTAATTTTAAAGATTATTTTTATAAAATAAAACCAATGTTTTAATAAATAAAAATTAAAAACAATATCAAGAGGAATAGGTAGGCTTAATGATTTTTTTAATAATTATTTATCAAAATAAAATTAAAAACAAACATATTTTTTGTTTGGAATAAATTTTTGACACATTAAACTATGTTTCATATTAAAGAGAGATGAAATCATTTTTTTTTATTCTGTCTATTTTGTCTAAGATAGGGATGAAATAAAAAAATAATTTTGCCTTTTTTAAATATAAAATACAGTTTGATGTGACAAAAATTTACTCTAAATAGAAAATATGTTTGTTTTTAATTTTATTTTGATAAATAATTATTAAAAAAATATTTAAAAAATCATTAAGCCGAATAGGTAACTCTTTAATAAAATGGAAACTCGGGAGAGAGAGAGGGTTGGTGTAAAGTTGGCATTGCATCCTCACCTACCCCTCACTAGCCGGGGTTAGGAAATGTAATTGAATTCTGCATTATTTAAAGTAGAAAACAAGAGGAATATAGTAAAGGAAGGATGGGTTTGACGGCATCGGAGATAGCGAAGAAGTTGAATCTGCAGCCTCACCCAGAAGGTGGCTTTTACGCGGAGACATTCAGAGATCATTCCCTCCTTCTTTCGACGTCTCAGCTTCCCCCTCAATGTAAGTTTTACTTCTTTCTCTCTCTTTTCCGTTCATCTCTTCTCTTCCACTCATTTCCTTTCTCTCTTCCAGACAAAGTCGATCGCCCTGTATCCACTTCCATTTACTTTCTCCTTCCTTCTGGAAGCATCTCTCGCCTCCATCGCATACCCTGCGCTGAAACCTGGCATCATTATATCGGCGACCCTATCACCGTATCTCTCTATTTTCTCTCCCTTTTTTTTTTTAATACCTAATATATGAATTGATTATTAATTGTTTCTAACCAGATAGTGGAACTGAACGAGAACGATGGTAGTGTTAAGTTGACTTGTCTTGGATCCGATCTGGGAGAGAATCAGGTACCGCAGTACACGGTGCCTCCCAACGTCTGGTTTGGTTCGTTTCCCACTAAGGATTTCACCATCTCTGCGGATGGAGCGTTTCTCGGTGCTGCTGCGGCTAGAGATAGTGAGAGCCACTACTCTCTTGTAGGGTGCACTTGTGCACCTGCTTTTCAGTTTCAGGACTTCGAACTCGCAAAACGTTCTCATCTCATCCACCGCTTTCCCCATATGGAGCCTCTCGTCACTGCTCTCACATTTCCCGAGTGACCACTCCACTCTCCTTTTGTTACTATCAGTTTTCAATCTTAACATCGTAATGTAATATTGCCACCCCTGGTTGTTGCGTGTTTAATGTTAGGGCTTGTTTGTTTCAAAATAGAGTGAGTTTTCATGGCATCAATCTCTATTTCTTTTATCAAGTTTAACCCCATTGCAAACTGAGAAATGAATGAGTCCTCACTGATTCTTGAGAATCAAATAATACTCATATACCTCTCTTTCATAGTTTTAATGTTAAGACTCCTAGCTTGAGCTTCTAAGCTGTGGACTAGTCTTTAAAATTGGATCCATCCGTTTTTGAATAGGTCATCGTTGAATGATAAATCACTACAGGTGGAGTGACGGAGATACCTATTTAATTCATAGAAAATTCAAAATCTTTTGGCAGGCGAAAATAACTTATAAAATTAAAATTATTTGACAAACATGATCCGTGATAAATAATTTAAAATAACGTATAATATTATATTAATAAAATATTAAAATTAATTATTATTTATTTATATTTTGAACATGAAATATTTTAAATTATATTTTTTAATATAAAATATATTTAGATACAAAATACAAAAGAATATATGAAAAAAATAAAAAAAATGAAACTATTGTAAAAGTGAGGAAAAAACGTAATGAAAATGCATTTTAATTGTGTGAAGGTTAAGGTATTTTTTTAAATAAAAAATAAAAATATTGTAACTATTTTTTGAAGGCTAAATATTTTTTAATTAGCATTTAAAATGATAACTTTAAAAGTTAAAAGCTAATTTTGTTTTTTATTTACCAAATAAATAAAAGAATGTGAATCCTTATCTCGTAACCAAAATGGAAACATCAGAATTAGTTCTCTAGAAAGTAGAAACTACATGATTCCATCGTATAGCGTTTTGCACAAATTCAGAAGAGATGGATTATTTCCTTTTTGAACCTCTACAAAAATATTTCTAGTTGCATGTGTTCTGTTTCCTATCTTCCATTAGGGATGGCAACGGGTAAAGTACCCGATGGACACTCGCAAAATTTACCCACAATGAATAGGGTATTTATCCGCTTTATGGATACCGGTATGAGTGTGAGTAAAAATCCGCAAATTTTAACGGGTATGGGTATCTAAGTACCCACCCCGCCCTATACCCGCATATATATATATATATGTTTCAACTTTGCTCTACAATTATGCATTGAATTTTTGTATTATTATATTACATATGTGAAGTTATAAAAGATTAATATAAAAATATATTTAATAATAAAGTAAACCAAAAAATTTATTTACTATTTTATATTATTTAATTAGGCTAATACAATTTAATTATTATATAGTTGATATGAGATTGATTTTTTAAAAAAATATTATTTATATATGACACACATAAATTTTTTTTATATTATTTAATTAGGCTAATACAATTTAATTATTATATAGTTGATATGAGATTGATTTTTTTTTAAATATTATTTATATATGACACACATAATTTTTTTTTTACACAAATATTTTTGTTAATAAAATCATATTCATATTTAAATCATAAAGTAAATGACAAATAATAAACACATTGTAAATATTTTATAAATTTTACAATCACCTACTATTATCGTAAATTTATTATTTATTGATAATATTTAAATTTTATTTTTATATTTTAATTTAAAATAATATTTTTCTATGCAACATATGTATAATAAGCACAATTATAATCTATTGAATCTAAATAATATTATTTTTTTATGTTCAAAGAAATTTTTTATAAAATATAAAATATAAAAAATTATTGTTAATTTTTATTTGTTAATTTCTTCTTCAGATAAAAAAATATAATTTGTTTATATACACATATATTTCTTTATTATAAAATTTTATGGTGACAATTTATCTTTTATTCAAATTCTTTCTTTTAAAATTTATATACATTAAATAAATATTTAATTCATTAAAATAATTTTTAAAAAATTTATATTCTTGACAAAATACTTTATGTAGTATATGAGTTAAAAATACTATTATTATTAATATATATATATATATTAATTATATTATATTATTTTAATTAAATCTATTATTTTTCTTACAATTTCAAATTCAAAAGTCAAAAAAAATATTTTATATATCCACTTTTCTTTGTTAGTACTTGAACTGACCCTAACTTTATTCTTATTCTCAATGTTTGTCTCATTAAAACCTAACAATTATGAAACATTATTCATTAGAGTTAGTTGTCAATGCCGCCACAAGATGTCACCAAGTGATCCCATACGAAAGGTCACCCATTGTGCAGATCTATTTCATTGTACGTTGCTGATTGATCGAATCTCACACAAGATAAGGTTATCGCCAACAAATAACTTCTGCATTTAGTTTCGCTTATTATTTCTAAGAATTTTAGTTTACAAAATTATTATATTAAGATACATTTAGCACTTGTGATATTTGAATATTTGCTTTTTCATCTATGATTATACCTTATTCGACAACTACATATTAAATTTTTGTATTATTATACTATTTATGTGAAGTTATATAAACATATTTTTCTTTATAAATATTTTTTTTTTCAAACAAGCGCGGGTAATGGGTAAAAGATGGGTATGCGGGTACTCAGAGGGTACGAGTACGGGATTAATGGTCATACACACGCAAGTATGGAACTGGGTACGAGTATTTTTTTAAAATGCGGGTATGGAGATGGATACTATATACCCTACCCATTGCCATCCCTATCTTCCATTCACTTTCCCAATTGAGTAGCTGATGGGCCCAGCTTGACAATTAAGGTGTGACATGCAATTTAAACCACGGAACTCCATCCTTTTCCTCATGGTGCCCTTGTAATAAGCGGCAATGAGATTTGCTGTATCTTGTTGCATATCTTTCTAATTATTTTTTTCTATTTTAGAAAATAAGTATTAAATAAAAAAAAGTGATGAATTTATTGTCTCAAAAATGTTCAAAACATCTAATAGCTTAAGAATTTAGTACCTGGATGTGTAGATATCAAAGTAGGAGAACTTAAAATTATTCAATGCAAAAATATGAATCATGTTCCCAACACAACTTAAAATTGTAAGATAACAATCTAGCGTCTTATGTACTTGATCCCATCCTCTTGGTTGTAAGATGGTTTCTTGTTTACAGAGAAAAGGGCAATAACTCATCACTTTCCAACCCTTAGTACAAATAGTTTTGGATGGAATGGAGACTGTTGAGAATCTACTGAGTGTTGAGTCTTTAATGGTTACATAATAAGAGCCCATTAGAGCAAAGATTTGGTAAGCTACTGAATGAGAGTGATGTTGCACATGTTTTGCTCAGATCATGTATAGGCACCACAAAGTTTATCCCTGCTATTTGTCATTTAACACTAAGATGTGGACAATTTGCACCAACTGTTTTACTTCAAAGGTTAATGCTGCTGTCTATAATTCTGCAAGGGTGACCATATTAGTGAAAATATAGGGGAAGCATATCTAAGAATTTTCATGGGGGAAGTCCTACAAAGTACATTCTTTGTTTCAGAGATGTCAAATTCATAATAATTAGACTTGTTCCAACCTCTTCTCTCTTTATGCTTAAGTTGTCACATACCTATGCATATTAACGTTTAGATTAAGCCTGTAAAGCTTCCTTCATACCACGAATTAGAAATTAAAATCTCCTGTGAAAAACTGGATTATGCTTTCAGACATTCTTGTGCTAGAAAATTTAAGGACTTCTTATTTTTCGATTTATCCTCAAGTTTGCAACTTTCCTTCGTTGTAACTTCATGTCCACAGTTGAACATCCATGCTGTTTGAGATTTTAACTTCTCAACAAAGTTGTGCATGTCAGAGTAATAGATGAGAAGAAGACATTTATATCTCAAGAATGATATCTGCAGGCAGGAAATAGATGTGATGATCAAATGATCTGTAACTAATTTTTTCTAAGCCATATATACGGTTTTCTAGACCATTAAATAAAAACCAGTGCATTAGAACTTACATTCAGAATCTGTCATGTTCCACTTACTTCCATTCTCTGCATCAGTAATATGCTCTTCTTCACCATTGCCAGATTTGGACGCGTGTCTGTTTTCCAGGTGCTTTTTTATAACATCTACTAAAATTGAAGCTTGGAGATGTAACTTTTGGTGGAGAATAGCCCTCAAAATCTAAAATGAAAAACAAATAAAGAGCACTATAAGATAGTCCTAAAGCAACCATGTAGTGGCATCTGTATGTGGAGAACACTCGCTAGCTTGATTTCTGATGTACCTTCTCCATTCTGGATTCTGTGGATATTAGATAATTGAAACTGGGAGTACGTTGAAATCCACTTCTGCAAACAAAAAACTTCTTAAGAAGAAAAGCAAGTGCTTTCTTGCCTAGCTTGAACGTCTCATTTTCTTTTCCTTCAACTTTCAAGCTTGAATGTCCACTGTTCAAATGTTGATTGATCTGATGAACGGTGTTTTCTTTCTGTTCTGTGACCCAATATGATTCTACCTGTTCCTGGAAATATACGTTCAATGCATTTTGAAGATCTTGAAGAGTGAACTCCTGTACACAATCTTGAGAGGTAGATGAATCTTCTGCAGTAATATTCATGCCATGCGAATCCTCTTTCAGATTGCTATTCCCCAACGTCCCCATTACAAGTAGTGCCTGAGGCCCAGTTACTGAACTTTTATTTGTAAAGGTTCATGTGGTATTATAATCTATTGGAAAAGAAAAATGCTGTGTAGACACTCATAGATGTGATAGCTAGGTGTTATAATGTAATAGAAAGAGGGAGAAAAAAAGCATTAAAAGTTGTTAATACTTTTGAGTGTCTATAAATTATGCTCAATAAGAAAATTTGGGATTGGATATGTGTGGATAATTGAGAAATTTAACTATCCTTTTCACGTGTACATGTGATAGATGTTGATAATTTTCTAATAAATTATTAACTTTGATACACTTTAAGATATGTTGGAGAGTCAAGTTTTGAAAAGGGGACAATGTTAATCTCTATTGATGCAACTAAGTTTAAGTAATTAATAGTAAAAAGAATTTATTTAAAAAATATCGATTACATTTTTATGTCTTTAATACAATAAAAAATATTTTTTTAAATAAAAGCTAACTGCTTTTAAATGTTTAAATTTACTCATAAAAATTGATATTAATAAAATTCTTTTTAAAGAAGAAAAGAATATTTTAAAATTCATTTTTAAATAAGGATAGAATGATAAATTACTATTTAAATTAAAAATAAAATATGTATTTTTCCTACTAAATCTTAACTCGTAAAAGTAGTTTCAAATTCGTTATAAGAGGCAAATCCGAAATTTTGATACTGAGTTGTGAGTATGAAATATTATAAAGCCATTTCAAAGAAATAATGGCTTATTATTTTACGTAGGAAAATGGATGAATGTTATAAGTTAGGCTCGTTAATAAGTAGATCCAATAAAATAAAAATTAAACCAAAAACTCAAAATATAAAATATTGACCCGCTGTTATTAAATTAACTCAATTTTTTTTTAAAAATGAAATAAGTTCAATTTTAATTTTAAAAATTAATTTAATACAAATTAAATTAAACACGCACGTATATACACATGTTCTTATGTATGAATAAGATTTTGTTTATGCAATTACTACAAAATTCTTACTTATCTAATTAAAAATACCTCGACCAACTCAAAAAGTTGACTAATGGGGAAAGACTATTGTATTCGTATATATATTTGATCTATTTACATATTTTGATAGAGCACTAATATCGATTCTCATACTTGTCTTGGATCCGATCTGGGAGAGAATCAGGTACCGCAGTACACGGTGCCTCACAAATTTTAAAAATTGAAATTTAGATAATATGCTTATTTTTTATATATTTTTAATTAAAAATTAGAAAAATAAAAATTTGTTATATTAGATAATAGCAAACGTAACAATAAATAAAGTTTTTGCATCTATATTTTTAAAATTTTAAAAACAATAGAAAATTTTAATATAATATTAACCGTAACAAGTCAGATTTTCTATTGCGTTTGTAAATTTTTTAAACTTTTGTATTACAATTCTTAAATTTATTTTTTATTATATCTATATATTAAACTTTTGTATTATAATTTTTAAACTTATTTTTCATATACAGTTTAAATTTTTAAAAGCTTTAAAAATAGTAATTATACATTAATTGTTATATATATCTTATGTGTGTGTTAATGTGTGCCTAATATTATATTTATATGTGAATAATTATGTTTTAGGTAGAGTTTGGTAAATTCATTTAAAAAAAAAGCGAGGAGAAATTCAAGTGCGTGAGAATTGGAACACAAAAAATATTTTCTTTAAATTGTCTTATTGAAGATATCTAAAGTTACGACACAATCTAGATATTATGCATATTGAAAAGAATGTTTGTGATAACATACTAGGAACATTGATGAATCTTGAAAAAAAGTCTAAAAATAATATAAAATCTCATTTTGATCTATAATATTTGGGTATATGACCTGAGTTTCACGTAACTATGGTTGAAGAAGGTAAATATATATTTCAACTTGTCATATGAAGAAAAACGTGTCTTTTGTCGATTTTTAGTTAACTTAAAAATTCCTAATTGTTACTCTTCCAATATATCTCGATGTATAGATGTTAAAAGAAGAAAAATATATAGAATGAAGTGTCTATTCGTGGTTTTCTACAAAATGAGGTTTGTGAGGCACTAATTGAACTAAGTTACTTCTTTAGAGAGATATGCTCTAAAACATTGAGTATGAAAAACATGGATTTACTTGAAAAATCAATAGTTATAACGTTATGCAAGTTGGAAAAAAATTTCATCTTTCATTTTTTAACATAATGATTCATTTACCTATTCACTTAGTAAATAAGGCAAAGATGGCTAGACCAGTGTAGTATTGTTAGATATATCCTGTTGAAATATATTTGCGTAGGCTTAAATCATATGTGAGAAATAAAGCTCATCTCGAGGAATCTATTGCAGAAGCATATATTGCACAAGAATATTTGCATTTTTGTTTGAGGTATTTGTATGGAGTTAAGACAAGATTAAATAGACATGGACAAAATTATGAAGGTGATTTTGGGGAGTGTAACAAATTAAAGTTGGACATTTTTTCACAGCTTGGCAAACCATTACATGGAAGAAAGTACGTTGAGCTAAGTAGAGTGAGAACAAGTTAGAATTTATGTTCTCAAAAATTGCGATTAAGTCTCACCATTTATTGAGTAAATGATTTTCTAAAATTATTTATTCATATATTTATTGTAATTATATTTAATTCATTAACTATAATTTTTTTATTATGTTCAAATGACTAGATTACAAAAGGAAGATTCAGTCAAAGCAAACTCACAAAATATAGAACAAATACATGAAAATAAATTTTATCAATGGTTTAAAAAACATGTAAGTATATTTTATTTATTTGTCTATTTATTATACAATTTTAGCATACAGTAACTAATAATTTTTTTTAATAGATTACATTATTGAAAAAGAGCGAGGAAGAAAGTATAACTGAATCTTTATTTTACTTGGCCTGTGGACCTGTTTTACGATATACAATTTATCTTATAAATAGATAGATGTTTACCACAAAGGATCATAATATAAAGTTAAAATTCTAAAATAGTAAAATTTTAGTTACAAGTGATGAGACTGCAGGTAATTTAAATTATTTTGGTGTCTTAACAAATATTATTTAATTTGAATTATTTTGGTGGAAACAATGTTATTTTATTTAAATGTGATTGGTAGAACGTAACTTCTAAAGGAAAAGAATACAAGAAAGATAAATATGTATTTTTTCTTATCAATACTAATCACAAATTGAAGACCAAAGAGCTATATGTTTTAGCTAGTCAAGCTCACCAAGTGTATTATGTTAAAAACACCAAAGATCCTACTTGACTAGTTTTTATGAAAACAAAATCTCGAGACTTGTATGATATGCTAGAGATTATAGATGACGCATGTTAAGAAAATGATGAGATTGATTCAGTTCCTATTATACCTAATGCATTAGGTAATGATCAAGTATTATCTTTGAATATGATTAATTTAGCACAATCTATTATTAGTGGAAGTACAATAATGCTCACAGAAATTGTTGATGATGAAGAAGAAAGTGATTATGAAAATATTGACTTAACAGAAGATTTTATAGAAGATGAAGAAATCAATAATATTGAAGAATATGATATTGAAGATGATTAATTTATCTGAAAAAATAAAGATATCTTCACTAATTGTGAACAAAGAATTTAGATTTAAGGTTTGTCATTTTAATTATAATTTATTTGCGTTATATATAATTTATTTTTTAGTTTTTAAATTTATTTCATGAAATCAACTATTTTGAATGTAATTCGTTTGACAATTTAATATTCTTCGATCTGATCGAATTTTTTGCATGTTTTATTATTATCTTGAATATATTATAGGTATCTATAGTTCCAAAAATGTGACCATGCATACTTTATAAATTATAATAAATTTTTTTATTTATATGTATTGTTCAAAAAATCATAATATTTTTTTAAAAAAATTATTATTAACCTCTATATTATAAATTAAAGTATTTGATATAAAAAATGAAGCATTTAATGAAACTATTGATTTTTCGCATATATTTTTCAAGTTAAAATTATATGAAAATAATATGTAAAATATACTCATTCTTTCTATAATAATTTTACTTTTTGTTCACTTTTTTCATTCTAATTTTTTAAAATTAAAATTTTTATTAAATTACTTTTATATAAAACAAATAAATTGTCAAAATAATTTTTACATTTATATTTAATAAATTTATTTTATTACCTTATATAAAATGTTAAACAATAAATATTAAATATTTTGAATTTAAATTTTATAAACAAATTATTTAAAAAAAATAAGTTAATGAAGACTCATTTTAATTTGACAGTAAAATTCAAAAAATTTATAAAATTGCTGAAAATAATTTATTCAACAAACGTAATCGGTAGCATTTAAAAATTAAATATTATAACAGTATTTAAAAAATATCTTTTATACAACTTCACTCAAATAAGATAGTATATATACTTAAACTCAAAATCAATAATTAGGTTAGAATAATTTCATGTTAATGATTTACATGGTTAATTATAATAGAAGACTTTTAAAAAAAAAGATAAAAAATGTTGAGTAAATTATAAACTAATAAAATTTTTAAAAAATAAATATTTGATGTGAAAAAAAAAACTTATATAGCACAGTTAAAAAAATAAGATCATAAAGTCGTTTTTATCCTCCTTTAAGTTATTTTTTTTAAAACTACTCTTAAATATTAATTAAAAATTATTTCTATAGTACAAAATAATTTATTTAAAAAATAGCTACTACATTTTTATGTCTTTAATATAATAAAAAATAATTTTTTAAATAAAAGCTGACTACTTTTAAATGTTTAAATTTACTCATAAAAATTTATATTAATAAACTTCTTTTTCAAAAAGAAAATAATATTTTTAATTTTGTTTTTAAATAAGAATAGAATGATAAATTAATATAAAATTCATATATTTCTTCATTTATTTTATAATATATTAATATTAAATTTAAAAATAAATTATTTATTTTTCCTTCTAAATCTTAACTCGTAAA